TCATTTCAAACACCCCCAAATTTAAAAAAAATAAAAAAAAAAACTAAACAAAACACTGGGTTTTAATAATCAAAAACCCACATTTCAAAAACAACCCCCCCCCCCCCCCCCCCCCCCCCCCCCCCTTCCCTCGTAGCTCTTCCTCTGCGGGTATCTGACTTTTTGGCAGTGATAATTGTTGTAGTAGTAACAAAGGGAAAGGTCATCAGAGAGACAGAGAAGAAGAAGAAGAAGAAGAAGAAGAAGAAGAAAAGAGAAAGAGAAAAAAAAGAAGCCAAACGACGGACTGTACATAATAATCTAGAACCCCCAAAATATCCTCATTCCTTCCCTTATCTTGCACCTTGCTCCGTACACGCTCGCTCGTCAACCCGCATACATGTAAGTCGTATCGTTTCGTTCGTATATACGTAAGATAACACAAAGAAAAAAAAATCATCCTCCCCGCACAATCTTTCTGTACAGGTATCGTATCGTATCATGTCTTCTTCTCTTCCATACACACACACACACACACACACACACACACATATATATATATATATATGTTTACCCCTGACGTGCTCGAGTCTATATATCTCAAAAGATCTGAAGAGTTTCTCGTCGGTGATGTATACATGGAACGAGTAAATAGCGTATGTATGTATCATATACATATTTTATATAGTAGTCGCGGGAAAGGCAGGCCGGCTTAACTAACTAACTAACGCCTGTCGCTTGCCTTGGTAGAGACGGAGTCGTAGTCCCGGTGAGAACGGTGGGAGCGAGTATCGTGGCTGGTGTTGCTACTGACATCGTATTCGATTGCCCGACGGCCCCGGGTGTCGTCCTCGGAATCCGAACCGTGCCTGTGTGTACGGCGAGGACGGTCTCTGTCGTCGTCCCGGTCGCGGTATTTTCTGTAGTCGTGGTCGTTCTTATGATCGCGAGGGTTGGGATGGATACGCCTCTCGTCATCCGAGTAGTCGCGGTCCTCGCGGTGGGACTCGTAGTTACGCTCCTGACCAAACTGCTTCTCGTATTCTCTTCTCTTCTCCGCTGCTCGCTCGTTAGTAAGGTGCTTAGAATAGAAATGGGATAGGCTTATTATAACTGCCTCGACTTGAACCTACCTCGAATTTTCGCGGTGTCATTGGCGTATTTCTGAATGTCCTCCTTGGTCAAGACCCGTAGAACGATGACAAAGTCGTCGCGGACTTCGAAGCGCTCCTTGCCGTTCTCTAGGGCGGCGGGGTTGATCAGTTTCCTGTTGATCTTGGTCCATCGCGCACCTGGTGGGACACCCTTCTTCGTCTTGTCATCCTTGTGCGGCGCGACGCCTTCTCGGATGGGGTTTTGATCCTCGGGGAACTTTGCGCTTGGCGCCTTTAGAATGCCCTTGATAGGCTTCTGATCAGACTTCTCTCGTGGAGGTGAGACAACTCGGACTTGCTTCTCCTTCTCTGCAATGGTGGCATCACGGCCGCGAGATTCTTCACGCGAGCCGGTCGACATACGCTCCACAGAAGCAGAACGAGTCGTCTCCTTGTCTGATGCTACCTCCTTGGTGGCTGGCTTCTCCTTTGTCTTGTCCTGATCCTCTTTTGCGGCCAGTTCCGCTTTTACATCCAGCAAATCAATTGTGTCTGTAGGATCAAAGGTCGAAGAGTTACGACGTCGCCTTCGCGGTGCTGGTGTAGAGTCGTCAGCGATTAACGAGTCGTCTTTCGAGTCTACCGCGGCGGATCCGTTAACTCTGGTTTTGTCATCCCGGCCGTTGCGCTCGCGTTCACGCTCAAGCTCTCGTTCTATTTCACGTTCTCGCTGCAGTGCTTCTTTTTCTCGCTCTCGCTCTCGCTCTTTCTCGAGCTCGCGCTGGTCTCGTTCCCTCTCCCGTTCACGCTCATAAGCTCGCTCACGGACACGTTCCCTTTCAAGTTCGCGCTCCCTAGAGCCTGGTGTCGAGTCCGCCTGCTCTCTCCGGGGTTCCCGTCGCGAGTCTACAGCGACTGGTTCTTCTCGAGGAGATGCTTTTCGTTCTACATCCTTCTCTTTGGGCTTATACTTATCCGCGGTGCGAGAGCTTCCGACGTCTTTATCTTCATCGGGGTCCCGTCGTCGTGGAGAAACCTTGCGATCATCATCCTTAGTAGTGTCTCTGGGTGCAAGGCCCACCGCCGCAGCAGCAGCGACACCTAATCCGGCGGCGACTTTGTCACGAGTTCGGCCGCCTGCGCCGTTCTTCTGGGTGGCGCTGTCTCTTTGGTCCCGAACTGAGTTGGCTCGGCTTACGGTGTCCTCAGTAGGCTTTCGGGAATCATGACTCCGAGTATAGTCGATCGACTCATCAGAGCGGCGTCGAGGCTCGCGCTCTGCTACGTCTCGTCGCTGCCGTCGATCATCGTAGTCGCGCCGATCAACTGACCTTGCCGGACGATCCGAGCGCTCCGGTTCCAGCGTGTTCGTACGAATCCCAAATCCGCGAGCGGGGACATCATCATCGCGGTATCCGTCCTTACGATCTTGGCGACGATGCACGCGCTCATCATCGTGAGAGCGGTAAATTTCATCAGGATGCGACATGCGCGCTGGCGTGTCTTGATATAAAGAAACTGGGCGCGGTCGAGCTGCCTTGCGGTCTGGCGACGGGTCTATCGGAGCTTCAATCCGGCGTAGGGGATCAACCGGCGGAGCAACAGGTACCGGTGGTGGTAAAGCAGGCATAGTGACAGTAGGACGATCATAAATACCTGCGGCTGTAGTTCTGTTGTAACGGTCGAGTGCGCCGGATGCAGGAGGTGGTCCGCGACCGCGAGTATCGTAACGGCCCAGATCATTACTCACGACATTTACGGTAGGACGATGGTAAGAACGATCAAGGCTCTCCTTTCGACTTCTGTGCGGTAGCTGGCGATCATGATCTAAATCGTACCTAGCCAAATCGCTAGGTTTCGTATACTCATAGCCTTCGTTGTCATAATCGACAACTGCCGTGTTGTTAAGGTCGAAGGATGGAGTCGTATAGTTGGCGTGAGGAAGTGAAGAGCGGTAATAATCGGTTGCGACATGCGTTGGTGGTCGAAGTCTGTCGTCGCCGACTCGCTCCCTTAATCGGGAGAACTCTTCATTGCTTAAGGTTGCGCTTTGAGTATAACCGTGGCCATATCGGGCTTGGCTTCGAGAACGTATTGAAGAGGCCGGTTGCGTATAGTAGGTTTCATCGCTTGACCGGTAGGGATCGCGCGACGGACTAGTTGTGCGCGCGGCAGACGACGTATGAGAAGAAGTACCGTGAGGTCGACTGGCGTGATTGGTGGTGACTATAATAGGCTTCACAGGATTGGTATCTACAGTTGACGAACGACGACGGGACGTATTGGAATTAGAGCTTCGTTGCGCGACGGCGGCGGCAGCAGCAGCAGCAGCAGCAGGCTCTTTAGTAACGTTGTAGGTGGTGATAGTAGCAGTGGGATTCGAAGGCGCTTTATGATCAGTCGCTCTTCTTGGGACAGCGGCATCATAACGAGCCGTCTGAACTGTATGAAGATCCCCGCTGTAATGAGGGTTATACCCAATGCTCACAGGCATCGATGCTCGCGCGGGGTTAAACTGAGGCGACCTACGACCCGAATAACGGTATCGTGGCTCAGCCATATTGTCGACTAGCTTATTCAGAATATTATACGACGCAGCGCAGTCTTCTGCTAGTTAAAAACGATCACGATGTAACCAAATTCGTCTTCTTAGTTAAGGGTTAAGGGTTGGTGGGTGTCTTTTTTTGGGTGTGAGTCAGAAAAGAGGATAAAGCAAAATTTAGAAAAGTTGGAAATTCCGCAAGATCAGGGTGGGACGGACGTAATTATGTCCGGCTTATATTATTAGGTCTGGTGAAATGACCAGGTTTCGTGAGTAGAAGATTTTCCAAATTTGGGGGCGAAAGGAGTCTTGTGCCCTTCTCTTCCGTACGTTTTTGTCAGGTCATGGAATAAAAAAAGAATGGGTCTACCTGGAATAGACAAATAGGTGAGTAAAGTAAGCCTATTAAGAATTCCAAATGCTCTCGGAGAATATGGTGAATGAATTTTTTTTATAATATAAGGGCGACAGTCAAGGTACGGAGAACGGGAGGCCGATAGAGGACATAGAGTTGCATATACATACCTAACCAAGGAACGAATATCGAATATCCTGGTAAAGAAACTGGCGACGATAAGGGTCCTACCGCGGGGTAGAAGCCATGGAAGGGCTGGAGGGTTGGAGGGGTTGTATCGTTACGAGGTTGTGTCGTCGGGTTGGGCTGCAGAACAGGGAACCGGCGGTGAAATTGGGCCACTAAGAAGATGGGGACCCTTGAGACAGCCACGAGCCACAAGGTACAGTACAGATCTCTCTAGTATCTGCTCTCTAGTATCTGTCTGGTCTCTCCCCTTTTCTAACAATTCTTGCCGGGCGTCGCACACTCTTACACACTCTTACACACTCTTACACACTTTCGCTAGCTCTTCAGCCGAGAAAAAGCAAATGGTGTGAGTTGTTCTAGATCAGAAGGATCAAGTGATCCCCGACCAAAAATGCAAGAATGTACTAGAGGAATCGGCCGAAGAGATCAACCAGGTGTGCGGTGATGGTTGTGGGACTGTGCGCTTTATCGGCTTTATTGTATTTGCCTGAAGAGGATCCGTCCTCTACCCTCCAAGTCGAATTGGTAATATAGGTAATATAGCCAATATAGCCAATAATGAGCGGTTTTTACAGCCAAATATCCAGTCGTAGTCGGAGTAGGTTGTAGTAGGTAGTATGTAGTAGTATGTAGTGTAGCGGGGTGTCGTCCCTTGTGTGCCTCGCAATCACGGACTTAAATCTCTCAACTATATAATGAACGTCCGTCGGATATGTGCGACCCCTACTATCCCCTCGCTCCGGCAGTGGACCGAGCAATGGACGATTCTATATAGAATGAAGATATAGAATAAGGTATCCGTTGGTGGGAATAGCAATAATAGCCTTGAGGCTCTGTATGGGAATAAACGAAACGACTGGTGAGAAGCGTGTAACTATTCTCTAACCTAGCTGGTGGATTTGACCTTCATGCAGCCAGGTGAACTCTTAGGTAAGATGTCAGGACTCAGTTAAGGTCAGATCATGTATGTGTTAGGTATGTAGGTGTGGTTTTTGCCATGCATTGCAGCAAGGGGAGTGAGTGGAGCGTGATTTGATTGAATAGAATAGGTAGTCGTATGGTTCGAAGTGAGAAGAAACACGGTAGAATTTCGAAACCGTCCTTCACGTCCTGCTATTGGTTTCTTTTTTGGGAGAAGGAGAAATTCCTTGTCGAAACGACGTCAACTAATCTGTTGACAAGAACCCCGTTTCCCGGTCAAGTTAAGAGAGAATGCCCAAGAAGCTAAGAAAGCTAGGCCAAGACGGATAGGCAATAGAGCAAAAGCAACGTCGCTCTAGGTGAAATATGATATGTAGATACGGATAGTAACAATGACGATGGTGTGGTGGAGGATGTGTCCACTTAGCGAATAGGATGGAGAATGCTCGGCGATGACGTCCCGCTTCGCAAAATAGAATCAATCGCGTTGCGTCAATGGCAAGACAAGCGACGGACAGGTACCCAGCCGAGCGAGGGCTAGTTACGCTGAACCGGAGGACTAGGAGAATCCCCGTTCAAGGGCTTATGGAGGGATCAAAATGTTCCCTAAAATAAAATAAAATAAAATAGGACCAGGTAAATTGACCTAGGTATTCCGTATTATGTGTTAGTGCGCTTTCTCTTTTCTCCTTCCTAGATCGTTGTCCTCCAGGAACACGAACCAAATGGCACCTGAATCAAGATCAGCCACCCGAGAAATTACGCCGCTATTCTGCCCGTCGCAGGTAGGATCGAACTGTACAGTCGCAATGCCGTCGTGGAGATGGATTAGAAATGCTTCCAAATTCCAGCGTACTATATGTATGTAGTATGCAGTATGCAGTATGTAAGTGCAGTATGTAAGTGGGAATGCGGACTATCAAGTAAGCAATCTATGTAGGTAGGTACCAGAACTGGCGTGTAAGTGTTCAATGGTTCCTGAATCTATTATAGACTAATAAGTGTTAGTGAGTGTCGGTCGGTGCTAATATTGGAAAATCGGATGTTGGCCGCAAGTCGCCCTTTTCATATATTTATTTTGTTGAGCTCTCTACGTAGACATCCCCCAAGTTTCGAATATTTCAACTTCTATCGTGTTGATAGGTAAATATGGAATGTTTTGTCTCTTAACCTTTTTGGAATCTACCAACCATAGTTCCAATTTGGTAACCTGCCAATGAATATTCAAGATAATTACACACGACGAATAGGCTCGTCCCCTCTAATTGTCACCTTAACGCAACACGTAAAGGTGTCTCCAGCACATATTCTTCCGAGGCTTAGAAACTGCCTATTATTATTCTGTCGGCTGCAACTTTCATCATTAATCACACTCTCTCGCCATGGCAACAATAATAGCATAACCAATCGCCAGAACTCATTTCTCCTTTTTTGTCGTCTTCACCTTACAGAGCATATCTCATCCGCCCTCTTGAGCTTGTTGGGATGGTGAGGTCTGGTTCCGAACGCTCATTGGTGCTTATTTTGGTGATTCGGGCTTCAACGCTAACTCGATTGGAACCCAATGGTCCCTCTTCTCTGGCTGCGATATCTTCTTTCAGTCACAATCGTTACTTGGAATTGGTCAGGAAAAGTCACTCAGATTCTAACTCTCGTGCCTCATGCCTAGTGCCTCGTGGCCCGGCCCGATCCTTTGGATCCGGCGTCTCGCCTCGTCTCATGTACATAGTAGACATGCGCTTAGTGGCGCGGAATTCTCGAAACAGAAGGCTATGCATATTCAATCACTTCAGCTGGACGGTTATCCCTAGGTAGTCGAATGTCGTGTTGCCCAACTCGCGATTGATATTAACAGGACTACGCGCATAGGTATTTACCTTGGCTGCTGAAGGACAGTTCGCAGTCTACCGTGGTGAGAGTAAAAAGAAAGCCGCCCAAGTGGCGAATCATTCAACTCCCCTGTATGATTGGGCTGCTATAGTATGTATCAAGGGATGCGATGCTTGACAACTCCTCGGGACCCCTCGCGGCATTTAGCATTACATATATCGCGCTTCTCGTATCAGATGTCATTTATGAGCCAAGGCACATTATGTAGAGCCCGTTTCAAATTGCCTCCCTACAGTTTCCCTACTTATAGTTACCTAATTTAGTAATGGAGATAATGGTTTGAGTTGAGGATGGACATCAGACCGTTTCCATAGTTAAAGGATGGAAGATTCAGAGTCACGAATATTATAACCGCTTTATTTAGTGAGGTTTACCACTGTCATTTATCCCTAACATTCGCACGCATTGTCTATACCTTTACCACCTAGGTACTCATACGAAATAAGGAGACATTGAGAATATACGCCGTAGCAAAAGCTCCGTCGACAGCCGACTCTAAGGTGATCACTGATGTCGATGATACCTAGGGCCCGGCTCTTCATTAATCTAGGGTTCCTAGTCTAGGTTGGGCGGAAATAGCACATTCTAGGCCAAGGAACTGACCGATCCATGGCTATCTGGTTATGCCCGACGATAGAATATAGATGTTCAAATGTGATCCTTCAAACTCTTGGGACCGCGTGTTAGTCACCCTTGCAAGCTGAACACACGTGGTAGATAGTCTGTACAGGCGCGTAGTCGGTTTAAGCGCCGTGTACCCAGGTTAACCTAAGCTTCCCGCTTCTCCAGCCCACTTGAGACCTCGAATAGACCTTGATTTTGATAGGAGTATAATCAACCAACAAAATCAAACATCCAGAAGCTAAGCCTTACCTACCGGACACCAAGCTTTGCCAAAACCCAACGAGAATAGACATCATATGATAGCGGGTGCTATTGGATGTAAGTATCGTGAGATACGGCCGTGTCCAAGGTCAGCAAGTTGTCCTTTGAACGGATTCCGCAGTCCGAAGACTTGCCCTAAACTTCACCGCTCGCTTTCCCCTTAATACAACTTCAAACGGGCAAAAATAAACAATAGGCGCCTTCGTACGGCATTGGATAAAAGACCGTCGAGTCTTATTCTAGCCGCTTGTCCATCATGGTCGGACAACTCAGCGGTCGTGTTTGATTCACCAATGCTGCCCTACCTATTCTCCGATTAGTCCTCGAGTTTTCTAGAATGTTTCTCAAGCGGTCAACTAGCTAAAAGGTGTACCTACGGCTTAAAATCCTGTGACCTTCGACGATGGGTAGCACAGATGCCAGATCATCAGTCCTAGTCGAATCTCATGACTACCTTTATCATCCTGTCACGTTGGGTCAAAAGAAAGGTAAAGCGACGGTTTCAGATAGCCAAGGCGTTTTTTGACAAGGCTCCCAAGATTAACCACTGAGCGGAAAGCATGGCTAAGGGATGTGGCCAGGCTACCATAATTCCCGAGCTTACTATAGCTCTAGCTGATGGATGCAGTAAATGGACGAGCATGCATCATCTATTCGTCTCTATTCCTGCGCCGTGTTACGAGGACGCCTCGTCATCTTTCATATCAATCCCATGTTTCCGATGTCATAACACCCTTTGGCGAAGCGTCCGGTAGCCTCATCTCCCATCTATGTAGGTAGTGAAACCCTATCCTTTACCCCCATGGGTAGATCGCGGGACGCCGCTGACACATGGCGTGCGAAGTGGCTGCCACACACACAGCTCTAGATAATCACCGATATGCTCAGATCAGTCGATCTCCCGGTACCGTCGCCCGGCCAGCGTCCGGTGGCCCCCAATACTGAAGCCGTCGGGCGTGGGGGGACGAAAAGGAGAAGGACGAACCGAACCGAGTCCGACCCAGCTGCGTCTCTCTTTCGTATATGCTTATGTTTGTTGATGATGTGGTATGACGGTGTGACGGAAGCCACTCATATTTGCGGCGTTACACCCGTGAGATGAACACGCTAGCAACGCAGATAGATGGTAGCTTGCGCAATGGCAAATGCCAAAGCATCCAGATCGAGGGACCCTACGTGCATGAGGCTGCACGAGAGCTCCATCTCAAAGCAGTGTTCCAAAACGTGGACCCCTAATATCAAAAGGCCATCTCCGCCCACTGCTGGGGGCGTCGCCGGGAATCTCTTCAATACATATTACTGAAGAGCGGTTGGGTGGAACCGGATGCACAACGGTTTATCCCAAGTGGATCGCGAGAATATCGAAGTTCCGACTCAGGGAAGAAAAGGAGGAAGGGGGAGAGACAACTCAGCGCGTCAGGGCGAATACCAACTTCCACGTTGCCTCCATCGGCTGATGTAAACAAAGGAAATGGCATTTACATCGTTCCCGTAAGATCTCATCCCAACCCGATCGGTTCCGCTGTCAACATCCTAGTATATGCAGTTTTCCCATGCCGGCAATGCCTTCTCCAGGTATTACGCTACCAAGCCGACCCGTCAACCAAAATAGCGTCTTACAATATCCATCTATGAACGAGCCTTCAGCCTATTCTTTCCTTTTTCTGATACTGACTCTCGATGCTAATTCAACCTTTAGCGAGCGGCCCCCATACCGCAACTTCTTTTCCTTACGACATCAATATCGTCCGACTCCACTAGTCCAGTCAAGATAAATCCCATCCCTCCCTCTCGTATGCGCCATCGCCCGGGAGGTATCATACAGTACGTGGACCCTAAGGTAGAAAAGCCAGACATACAGGTGGTTTAGCTCACGCCGCCTAGAAACCTGGCGGCTTACGAGAATGAAAAAAAGAAAAAGTGGAAAAAGCAATGGGTCCAGCTGCCTATCAGGTTGTAAAGGTTCAAGGAACTGCTCTTCCATATTACTTACATATACCAGCCAATCTATATGCCCACTATTCTTACAAACCGGTAAGGAGGCAAGAAGACACCGTACCTATGTAAGTCAATAGACAAGGCCTAGCTATAAACCATATGTAGGCTCGCTACATTATAGGCCCTTGCCAGACCACAAGTCTTCATGCAAGTCACATGAGTTCGTAGTAATGAGTAAACCCATGGATTCTCGTCTACGTAGGGGTTGCCCTTCGAGATGGAGCGGGTGTAGAAATCACTATTAGCCGGAACTCGCCGCCTAAAGCAAGCTGACTGTACGGTCAACAGAGTAAACGGTGACATACAAGGCAATAATCGCAAGTTCATAATAACTTAAAGCTAAGTTTCCCGTAAAGAATAGTCCTATAAAAGCCATCGGCCAAGCTATCCCAACAATCAATGAGATACAGGGAGTCAGCTTGAATGTATTCATGATAGTAGACCGAAACGCTCATACATGTTATCATTACTATGATCATAACCGTAGACTAAATTCCAATCGCCCTCCTTAAGATTTCACTTAAGCCAAGCTCCCCATAGGATCCCATAGGGGCAGCACAATCGGCTCCTTAGTTAGCACGTCTCTAACCTTCCTAGCGAGGAACTTCGGGTCGACCACAGCCTGGTATACGAACTCGTCCATCCATCGGTCGCTCATCACGAACCAACCTTTGGACCCGACGTCCGTGCCCCAGCTATTCTGCACCTTCCAGCGGACGGGCCGGCCGTCGCCGTCGACGTGGACCGCCGTCAGCACCATGGCGTGGGTCATCGCGGACTCGCCGACGCGGAGGCGAGCCGCTTTGTCCAGCTTTCCATAGAGGTTGACATTAAAGCCAAGCTCGTAATCAAAAAGGTCTAGATCCATAATGCCGCTACCCCGCTCGCTGTACTTGCCCACGTCGGACCCGAAAAAGACGGGCAGTCCGGCTCGTAGCATGGATATGCATGCCTGCTTCAAGGTCTCGATATCAACGTTGATGTACGTGATTCCCCTACCGCCTACAATATTGCCCAGACGGTCGACGGTCATCAGGCTTAGAGGCTCGTGGCGCGGGTCGTGAACTAGAGAGACCATGCTAGAGATAGTAGAGCTGGTAATGCGGAACTCCTGCGACGAGATATCCTTGGCAAACTTGTACGGCGTCGAAACGACCGACCGCGCCCTCCCTTCCTTGTCTAGGAAATTCCATTCGAACTCCTCGGAGGTGCTAGGTGGTGGCCCTAAGGTCAACGTCAGGATAAGGTGAACTTCTCGTAGCATCTTGTCCTTGGTAGCCGACAGGCTCGCAGCAGTTGTCGCCGAGCTTTTGGCCAAATCGCGCAAGACAACAGCATACTCGCGTAGCTTAGCGATAACGATAGAGTTGATAGTGCTGCTCGTCATAGCATTCCAGCTATCAGGATACAAAGTCTGGGGTACAAGACCATACTTTTCAACCAGGTTATAAACCATATCCCACTGACCACCATCGCTGATAGGGTCAGCAAGCAGTCTTTGAACCAGTCTCTCATCCAATGGCTGATCAGCAGTTTCGATGATATTCTCAAGAAAGAAATTAGACTTCTCAAGCTTGTCCCAGAAAAATAGATACGCCTGTGACAGCTCGAAGGAGTCTAAGTTGTACTTCTTCATGATAGCGATCCGGAATATATTAGTACTGGCAAATAGCCAGCATCGTCCTGAGGATCGCTGGTTTGTGATAGGAGCGCCCTCGAAAGGGATGCGAACATTGAACACATGCTGGTCCGTAATCTTCGTTGCCCGAGAAGCCAGAACATCTCGTGGGTTCGCGGAGCTGAAGGCCGAGAGAGCTAATCTAATCATGAGAGACAAGACACCATCAGCTCTGGGCATCTATGCCACTAGTAATTATTCCTATGAGTACAAAATTACAAACCTGTTCTTAGGATCCGCGAGCACCTTAGACTGCCAATTCTGCGTAAGTTCAATAGCCAGCTTTTCCGGCTGCCTAGTTATGCCGCCGTTGAAGAGTGCTCCCTTCTCGTTGTCAACATGGACAAAGCCGTCCTCTGAGCTAAGCGCCTGTAGACGTTCTAATATGGCTTTTTCATGTGCGACGGCTGCCATCACCTCAGGCGAGCCTTTAGACTGCTGCGCACCCATGCTGGTTACGATAACTAAAGCGATTACGAGCTTCGACTTGGAGGATCTCCCTTAGTGGACTTGGGGTTTAGGTAGAGTTTTAGTTTATTATTCACCATCGAATAATGGGTTGTATAATACGGTTAGGGATATGAGGTACCTAGTGTATTGGAAATAGCACCCTAGGCACGTAGAGATTGCTAGGTTATCTCAACAAAAGGATCAAGAGGAACAATAGCTATCGGCAACTTGGCTGAGTTGAGAAGGTGGGCATCCTGTTTCTGATTGCGTCTTATGATATTACGTGCTTGATAAGCAGAAGCCTGTACTCTAATTGGTAGAAGGGACACTGGTGCCAGTCCGGTGACCTCGGCCGAACCTTACCTTCGATAGGATAGGATTACATTAGATGCATGTTACCAAGCACCTTGATGACCTTCACACCTTTTAGGTAAAGATGTGCGACCCTGATGATAGGTACGAAATACACAGAGACGAGCGAAGACAACAATCAGATGTGTACGTTAAAGATTTGACATTGTATTACCATCCATATAGGTACAGAGCTATGTATCACCTGATATATGCCAAAATCCGCAACGTCCTTTTTTCCAATCCATACATAATTACGCGCGAAAGATCTGAGAAGCAATCTTTTGAGATCAACCGCGACTCCATCATAAACCATCAGCATAAGAAAACTCCCCTTTTATGATGACATTACATTGACCACAGTTGATCCCACACACTAAGATATCTTTACAAGCTGGAGGCATGGATGACCTTCATGTCAACAACGAGCTCACGACCACCATCGTTCAGGACGAGGACGCGGACACTGCCGTGGCCGGCGTTGAAGGCCTGGGTAAGGCGCTGCCACAGGTTGGACTGATCAATGACGGGTACACCGGTCTTGACGTCACCAGTCTCGGTCATGGCGACGACGGAACCATCCTGGATGTCGAGAACACGGTATTGCTTGAAGACGGGGCCAAGCATGGTCTGGACAACAACGCTGGGAGCAGGGTTGGAGACGAAAGAAGACTCTTCGTGGAGCTGCTTGGTGAAGAGGTCGACACCAAGGTAACGGTGCTGGCCAGTAGCCGACGAGGTCGAGATGCGGATGACCTGGCAGGGACGACCCTGGAGGATCAAGATGTCACCCATGCGGACATGGTGGCAGGGAATGGTAACAGTGTTAGGGACGGAAGGAGCTCCGTTAGACTTGGGGCCGGAGGAGCGAGAGATGTCGGCACGCTCGCCCTCGGAGTGGAAGACACGGTCAGCCATCTTGTGTAGTCCTTCACGTAGTGAGTGGTGGTGTCCTGAGCAAGTTAGCAGTTTGGTCTACAACTATAGTGGGCTAGCACTTGAACTAACCAGTTGAGTCGTAATATCCCATCTCACTCTTCTTAGAGCTGGGGCTAGGGGGCTGTCGAGGATACTCTACGGTTTCCTCGGTAATCTCTGCGTCCCTGTGGTAGGATGAACCGGCCTTAGGGGGATCAACAGTTGATTCGCTGACGCGGATTTCTTCGCTAAAGCTGGGGAAAGACTTGGGAGGGTCGATAGTAGACTCAGAGACGTGAGTATGCTCGCTGGCGAAGTGAGAACTGGGCCTGGGAGGGTCGACAGTACTGGCAGCTACGCTGATGTTGTCTTTATAGACGGATGGTTGAGCTCGAGCGCGATACTCACGTTCGATGCGGTCAATGGAACTAAGGTGGGGATTGTGGCGGTCGACCTCAATTGAAGTCTCTGAGTAAGAGAAGGAAGAGGAGGGACGAGAGGGTTTGGGCTTGAAATGGGACTCAGAGTGAGAAGTGTGAGGTCTATCGGAAGAGGTTTGTTGTCAGTTGAAGATATTTTTACAAGTTACTTAGCCAACGGGGGCGGGGATTGACCAAGGCCCAACCACTTGACCGGGATCCCGGAAAATGAACAATGCACTGGCCTCATGGCCCCATGGCTCCATATTGGCCAATTTAGTTCAATTGAATCCATTGCGGGCCGGAATCGACCCAGACCAGGAGCTCGGGCTCTGATAATGGAGCCAGTTGCGTAATTATTGAAATCCTAGCTCTTTGACGAGGAAAAGAAAGGCTCTAAGAATCAAGAAAATATGGTAGACTGACCTGTGCTCCTCGTAATGCTCACGGTGGGCACCGGGACGGCGGTAACGTTCTTCTTCACGTGTGATGCGGACCTCTTCTTCGCTGAAGTGTGGCTCCTGACGCGGAGGTAGCTGAGCTGAAGCAGAGATAGAAGAGTATTGACCTTCCCGTCCGGCTTTCTCTGGTTTTCCGGGGAGATCGATCTGAATCTCTTCGTGAGTGTGGGTGGTGGTCTCTACCTCAGTCTCCTTGTATGTCCGAGGGAAGATACTAAAGGGGACCGGTACGCGGGCTTCAAAGTCCAGGTTGGCGACCTTTTCGGCGCGAGAGTCCTCTCCTCGACGACCTTTCGACTAAGGGCGAAAGGAAGACAAGAAGATTCCTCTTGCTCTTCTTTCTACTATACTGAAAGAAAGGAAGGGAGGAGAAGCAGGCGGAAATTGCTCGCTTCTGTACTCGATTCTCTCGTTCAGGCTGGAAGAGCGGGGAAGATAGGCTGTATTGGGTTGTGAAAGAGATGTTTGGGTTTGGTGGTTAGAAGAAAAGGAGGTGAAGTGTCAGAACAGTTTATTGGAAGGAAAGAAATAGGAGATGCTGCAGGGAGAAAGATGGGCAGTACCGATGTTATTGTACTGTACTGGGGGGTCACTGTGGGTTACTGCGGGTTGTTGTGGGAGGGAAGGAAGCACTGGCGTGGCAGGTCGTGCTCGCAGGTTGTCCGGAGCTTCTACAGGGGTTGAATGGGAAGGAGCTTGTTTACTTGAGTGGATCACCATGGGTCTGGTGTGTTTATCCTACCCCAAAACAAGTTAAGCGGCTGGGGACTGGGGGATATTACAGAAGACAGGGAAATTGAGACCGTTTTTCGCACGGGGGCGGGAAGTTGCAACCAAGTTCACTCTTACACTGTCTTCTTTTACCAGTTTCCTACTATGTACTGTCTCCTTATTTCCAGCCATTTCTAGCCCCCCCGTTTAACCTCCTCCCTTGATTCCCTGGTTCGCCTGTAGTTTCGCTTTTCACCGTTTGCCGGGGAAGTCCACCCAATGGCCTATCCATATTGGACCACCGGGTCACTAGGCCACCGGTGATGATCAGATCGAACCAACAAACCCCCCAGCCGGTCCAGCCTCCTCTTAGCTTTGATAGCCTACATACATATGTAGTAGGGGTGTCTATCTAGGTGCCAAAACAAAAACAAAGAGGCCAGTTGCCAGCCTTCCTCGGTTGTGACATCTCTCTATTTGCTCGGTTCAAATCGATAGACGGAGATTGAGGACTTACGGTCACGATTTTCAGCCATTAGGAATTATTAGCATCGAGCGTGCGTGTCGCCCATGGAACTCCCATATGTATCGATCTCAATCAGTGTTATGTTTGCATAATAATACGATTTCACCGCTCACTATTGCAGCACATAGGTATCACACATATTACACCTACCGTAAGAAGTTGACAGTTTAGACTGGGTTACGCAGCAGGTATTGATTGCCTGCCGCTGTAGGAAATCGAAGAGGCTGGTATCTCCCGAGAAAAGCTGGCAGAGCGTCTCATTTTCTCATCTTCGAAAAGCTGGGCACTAAGAAACCAACCACTTACAGAGCCGATAGCTGAATCGGTCTTATATGCAAGGACGAATCACGGCTGGGAATGACATGATTCCCAACCACCTTTGCTGACACTTGCAGATTAAAGCAAGGCATCTTCAATTACGCGTAATATCGTGGGTTCCGCTCATTGGGTTATGCAGTGGATTATGGTGTGCGACTCAGCTGAACTTATGCACTCCTAATGCAGACGGGCTGAGCAGTAACATTGAAGTGAGCTTCGCTCTTCCGCTGCACACTGTCAGTCCCACAGTCCCACAGGGCGTCAGATCTCACTCACGTCGGGTGGGGTCTACCTTCAAATCTGGTGCAACTAAGAGTTACCTTTCGATAAATTCAACTCAAACCCTCCTAGATTGTCTTGATGTCACCAATTGATTGACATCGTCCGGTCAATTGCTATGTTCCAAGCCATCAACACGCCCTAACATGTCTCGAATACCGGAAGAAGTGTTCAGTCCACGTTTCCTGCTGACGTCCAATTTACCCCTGATCGCCAACTCTCCAATTCGTTGCTATGACAACCGGTTACTAAAACCGCGCTACTTAATACAGATCCTATCAAAGCGGAGATGCCAGGATTTTTACGAGCCATTAGCTTCCTGATTTGGAGAGATTCGAGAGAAGCTGTTGCTAACTGGTCTTACCACCGTCGTGAATCTATCCGTCACATGTCCGAGCTCGAAGATCTGTTTCGCAATCGATGCTACTAGCTAGTAGATAGCTAATTATACACGAGATCTTGACATTATCGAATTATCGTATCCGAAGATCCCTCAAAAAGCATTGACAAAAGCTTGGATGCAATGTTAGATGTTACGAGGCCAACCCCGTCCCGCAGCTTGGACATTATACCTAGCTTGGGTAAGGTAGGATATACATGGTAAGTTTTTGCCCGATTGGAGCTTCAAACGCGTTCATGTAGCCAGTATGCCGAGACGCCCATCAATTCAGCTCTACGGTTTTAGACAGCTGAAGTTACGATAAGAATAAGAACTTTAGGTATAGGATTCTAAGTGCCTCGGTAATGCCAATTCACTTGTGATGATGTAGCACGGTTGAATCATCACGATATGGTCCCTTCTTCAGCTCTACGGTCTTTGATCGTGCGCCCTGGTTTATGGAGACCGCAGCTACCTATTGGAAATTTGCTTTTAGGGGTTCATGGGCAACATGCAAAGACGGTGACCTACAAGCAGCCAACGTGACCCGAATAATTACGATACAGCTTTAAGGAGGACGATGACAGTAGATTTGGGTCTAGTTCACATGTCAGGATACGATAGGTAGGCTATTCCGAGATGATGTCCTTACCGCTCAAACCATCTCGAAAACGCTTGGCTACCCCTAATGATTTAGAAGACTATTGCCTCTTGGAATAAGCGATCATCCGGCGCCAGCAGAGCACGCCCACATAGAATCATTGTGAGTACCTAAGCTATTCCGGTAAGCGAGTCCGAATGCTGCGGTGTAAGAAATCCTAACGTCGAGCGTTTGCCAAGTAGCCATTAGTCGTGTCATGATAAACCTGAAGCTTCTCAAATTAAGACATTGACGTTCTTTTCCCACCCGTTCGATGCCACGCGATAAGACATTGCATCGCCTTTGTAGCTCAATTCGTAGAGCTATACCTACTGTATGGTGATAGAGCTTCTCGACGCCCCATCTACCACATGCAAGTATACCCGTCCACACTATGATCTCTATATTGCAGATATACACGTTGGCTTGCGCACGAGCCGGACCGTCTATCCACGCGGGCAGCCCGTAGCGAGCTCATTATCGACAGGCTATGGGTCTGTCTCCATACCCGTATGCGTTGTTCGACCCGGTTTCGACGGTTATCCCCACGTGCCGAGACGCCGTATCCGCTTGACCACCGTACGGTGCGTGCGAGAGTGTCGGTCGGGGGGCCGGGTTCAGGCAGTTTTCGCTTCCCGTGCTCGACCATGAAACGCGGCAGTCGTGTCAATCTGCAAAGTCCCGTTCAGAAAGCTGTGGTGGCGCCCCTCGCCTTTAGATACGGGCCCGTAGCTGCATGCTGCAGCGCCTAGGGAAAAGATGGCTTGGAACTTCACATTCGTGTAGCCGCGTGGAACGTCAAGCACACGCCACACTCTGGCCTCCATGATGCAAGATGGTGAATATAGTATGTGGACTTGCCACATATCACATATACGCGGCGAAGTCAGGATTCTTGTAGAAGTTCGACGTCTACTCCGCAACGGGTCCGTCGGGTGGGTATACCGACGGAATGCTTCGTAGGTATTGCCTAGCTTCGGTAGCGAGAGGTGCAGCAATTCTCCACACGTATCCATCATCTTATGCGCAATGGTGGATATAGATTTAATATGGAATCGGAATGTTTGACTTGGGCATCGTTGACTGTTTGCACTATTGAATGTAGAGTAAAATGCTAAGCAATTCCCAAGGCGCCTGAGTAGGTTTCGTCTGGGTAAACAACAAGTCTCTAACATAGACCTGTTCAGCAATATGATATAAGCTGTGATAAAGAAAGAGAATGGTATACAATATCAATCATGTGTGACCTTTAGTATAACATGAGTATATATCGTTTCAACTGTCAGGCAATCATGTTGTACATAGATGCTCCGCTTAAGTTCCCGGATTATAACTCGGTAACGGATGGGTATATATCGTACGCTTCGGTGAAGCATATAACAGGAGGTAGGTATACAACTTTGGCTACCTAGGTACCTGTTAGTCGACTTTAAAGCAAGTTAACTATTCTATTACGAAGTAGCTACTAAAGACATATGTAGTAACGTGACTCGAAAAGGCGCTTAGCAATGCTATTATGCTGTTGGTGATAATAACCTTGAATGGTGTGCTCTATTGTCTCTCTTGAATAATTTTATTGGTGCGATTACCATGCCATTCAGACGTAGTCGGCCAATCCATCTCAACCTGGTTCCTCCATTTAATATAGTGAGAAGTTTCATCAAACGCCTGATGGAACTGTAGGCGCTGTCAAACCAGGTCGTCCCAGATCACTATTAAATCAACTTTATATTAGCGCTGTCTATCAAATCTCGCGCCCTCCGTTCGCTGCGCATTAATCAAGAAACGGACAAATCTAAGGAATATTTCCGGACCAATAACAATATATTATGGGGCTTAAAAACTACTGGAAAGGATTCAGATTTTAACGGTGTTCAAATATACTTAGAAATGGGCAAGAAACGCACCCGTTCGGGAGTATTTAGCTCCCGGAGGGCGCGAGATTCGATAGACAAGCGCTGATATATGAAATGCAAGAAAGAAAGTCATACCGCATAGTTTATAGTCTATCTGGTTCCGGGTGTTGGACTTGACAGTGATTTTGTGTTGTCTAGCCTTCTATAAAGGGAATGCGTCCGCGTCCCGAAACGATCGTCCCTCCGCTACGGTGACATCGACGAAGGGAAAAATATGGAAGCCACTAATTATCCGATCAGGCTCGCCATGTCATTACACCGAGAGCCGGTGGGCGTAGGTGATGCTGTAGATGATGTATATAATGTGGGATAGAGGAGCGAAGATCGGCGTAGCTAGAAGAGTATATACGTAGCAGCACGTGCAAGCTGAATCGCTACTCAATTAGATAAGCCACGACCAAATATGAAGCCATCTTCACTCTTGTGGGCCTACGCGGCAACCGGTGCCCTAGGCGCATCATGGATTGCGCCGGGTGCTGTGTGGTATGACACCGATGGGAACAAAATCGATGCTCACGGAGGAGGTGTCGTGAAGCGTGGCGATACCTTCTACTGGGTCGGTCAGGCAGCTAGCAGTAAATGGCCTCGAAGTTCATAATGTCTAAGCTAGTTGATCACTAACAATATCTTCAAGACCAAACGCCGAACTTGTATTCATCCACTGATCTCATCAATTGGAAGAACCTTGGGAAACAGGCGAGCTCTGTGACTGGAATGTGGCGGCCAAAGATAGCAAAGCCGAACGGTTCGTTTTGGGTATGAGATACCTCGCTTAGAAACGTTCTTACCTATGAGAAACTCACTAATTGGGTGGATGGCGACAGTTATATGGCCAGCAAGACCGTTATGTTCTTTCCCTAAAGTCGGCAAACTTCGTCGGGGGTTATGGCCAGTCAGCCAAGGTTCATATCCCGCCAAACGACTACTCCTATTCGGATACTGGAATGTTCTACGACGAAGACGCAGGTGAAGCAAGCTTATCAAATATAGAGGAGTTCTTTAACTGATGGATATATCATATTAGACACATGGTTCCTCCTAACCAGCGCCGACCACAATGTCGTCCAGGTTAACCGCATCAACAAGGACGGTGCGCTGGGGGACAAAGTTTCAGATCTAAGTAGGTCTTTAGTCTGTAGCAGAGTGTAATAACTGCTAAATGGAGTTAAATAGGAAGCGGAGCATACGAAGCCCCAGGCATAGTGAAAGCCGACGGTGTGTACTTCTTGATCGTCTCGGGGAAAACTGGCTGGCGTGCCAACCCCAACAAGGTCTTCTGGTCAAGTTCGATTAACGGCCCTTGGGCTGGAGGATCGGATATTGCTCCACAGGACCAGAACACCTACGGCTCGCAGAACACATTCGAGTTGACGGTTAAGGGCTCGCAAAAGACCACCTATATTTACATGGGAGATGCTTGGGACTCGAAAGGGGGAGCGAGCTCGAACTATGTGTGGGCACCCCTGAACATTAATGCCGGGTAAGTGATTCGAAAACGTCAAGTCTCCGATAACTAGGCGCTGTGTTGGCTAACTCTAGTTGTGCTTTGTATAGATCGCACTCGGTTCAGATTGACTACCATTCGATGTGGAAAGTCGATGTTAATACCGGAGTGGTTTCTTACCCTAGCACCCTGAAGCGCTACGAGGCCGAGCACGCCGTATTGTCAGGCAGGACAGGTAACGTACTCAAAATCACAACTTCTAAATTCAGAGGCTGACAGTTAGAAGTGGTGAAAGATTGCAACGAGTGTCTAAGCAAGCGTTCTGTACACGGACGTAAGTCATATTACACTCTACCCCGAACGAGACGCGTTAGAGCTGGACTAACCACGCTCGCAGTGGGTGATTCAAGCGAAGTAACCTTCCACAATGTCACCGGCACCGGATCCCGTCAATGGTTCTCTTTCCACTACCGAGTCACCAACCCGGAAGGTAAGCCGTAATACTCTAATGTACCTAATGTAAGAGGTGCGGAAGCTAATAAACCATTGCTCTAGCTGGCGAGGCTCACATATTTGTCAACGATGAGCCGGCCGTCAACATCTCGAGCCTAAACTCTCGCGCGGGATACCACACTTCTACTCCGGTCCAGCTTACTCTGAAGCCTGGTGATGTGAACACTATCACGTTTGGAGCAACAGGCTCCGACGGTAAGTTGTCTCTCAACTAAGCCTAACTTATCGTGATTTCTGCTAACGGTGGCTTTACTAGGATTCGAAGTTGCCGTAGACGGAATCGAGCTCTTTGAAGAGGATGAGGAGTGAAGGCTGTGAAGTAACGGTTTGCTGTTTCATTAGAATGATATCGGTGATATAAGATTCGTAGTACATATTGTGTTGGTTAATATTATGACTTCAATACCTATCAGTTATATCGATCTACCGCCTGCTATCTTAATGGTGATGATTGAGTTAGGTTGGTTCTAAGGCCTATAGCAGCTATAGGTACACATGTATCAATGTTAGGAGCAATGACGTAAATTATAACTGGTTGACGGGATTTATAAAACCCCGCCGTTTCTGCCGGTGATATAGCAATTTATACGTATATTACGGTATAACTACTATCTGCAATAACTTAATTACGGCTAAAAATAACAGTAAGAAGTAGCTGTGGGACCGTTAATTCAACTGCCCCAAAACTATTCCGTTCTTACGTCGTTTCTTTGTCTGTTTGCCCCGCGTATCTTTTCAGTCATCCCACACTGTATTATCTATGCGATCAGGGCATATCCAGGTGAATCACATCGGCAACTCTGTTGTAGGTTGCATGTTGCAGGTAGGTATATGGACGGACAAGGAAGATGAAGCAAAGATTTTCCTCGTTGGACGTCAAGGTAAACCTCCACAGCATTTTCCTTCTCAACCTCAGTTAAGCATCGCATCGCATCGCATCGCTAACCGATATCCCATTCTCTCGTTCTAGGTCATCGCTCACGAATTATCTAAAAGCCTCGTATCACTTCGGGTCTATAACATCTATGACCTATCTTCTAAGATTCTCCTTTTCAAACTTGCGAAACCTGAAGTCAAGAAACAACTCCTTATAGATTCTGGCTTCCGATGCCATCTTACCGACTTTGCGCGGACAACTGCCGCTGCCCCATCCGTTTTCGTCCAGAAGTTGCGCAAGGCCTTGAAAACCCGACGAGTCACCGCTGTTTCACAAATCGGTACTGATCGCATCATCGAATTCCAGTTCAGTGACGGCCAATACAGACTATACCTGGAATTCTTTGCCGGAGGCAACGTCATCTTAACAGACAAGGAGCTCCAGATTCTGACGCTGTTACGACATGTCCCCGAGGGAGAAGGTCAGGAGCCGCAGCGCCCAGGTCTTACGTATTCCCTAGAAAATAGACTGAACTACAGTGGAGTTCCGGCCCTGACGAAGGAGCGTGTACGAGATGCGCTCCAGACCACTATACAAAGGGCTACTGTCTCGGCTGCAGCGGGAAAGAAGATAAAGAGGAAGCCGGGTGATGAGCTGAGAAGGGGGCTTGCTACCACCATCACGGAACTACCTCCGATATTAGTCGACCACGCTATGAAAGTCACAGGGTTCGATTCGAGTGTACAGCCATCTACGGTATTAGAAAATGAAGGACTCCTCGATGACCTACTACGGTCGCTTGGGGAAGCCCTCAAGGTCGTCCATGGTGTGACTAGTTCCGACACTTGTAAAGGCTATATATTGGCTAAAACGAGACCGGGCCTCGATAATAAGCCATCAGGAGATGCAGATGATGGCCAGCAGCGGAAAGGTGCCCTACTATACGAGGATTTTCACCCGTTCCTGCCTCGCCAATTTGAAGAGGACCCTGCTTATACAGTGCTTACTTTCGAAAACTTCAACGTGATGGTGGATGAGTTCTTTTCTTCCGTAGAGGGACGGCAGCTAGAGTCGAAGTTGAACGAGAAGGAAGCCGCCGCTAAGCGCAAACTGGATGCGACCAAAGCCGATCATGCCAAGCGGATCGAGGGCCTTCAAGCAGTTCAGCAACTTAATGTTCGGAAAGCCAGTGCAATAGAAGCTAATGTCGAGAGGGTTCAAGAAGCTATGGATGCGGTGAATGGTCTCATACAACAAGGAATGGACTGGGAAGATATTGGTAAGCTTATCGACAGAGAACGTAACCGGGGCAATCCTGTAGCTTCCATCATTGTACTTCCTCTCAAGCTACACGAAAATACTATCACTGTACTCCTTGGTGAGGCGGAAGAAGAAGAGGAGGAGGAGGAGGATTATGAGGCATCCGATACTGACTCGGTCAGTTCGGATGATAGCGGTTACGCTGGCACGGAGGCATCTGCGCGAAAGGTGCAGGAAACCCGGCTGACAATTGACATCGATCTTGGTATCTCTCCTTTCGCCAATGCAAGAGAATATTATGGAGAGAGAAAGAACGCCGCCGTGAAGGAGCAGAAAACAGTACTGCAATCAGAGACTGCATTGAAAAATGCGGAGCAGAAAATTGCTGCGGAGTTAAAGAAGGGACTGAAGCAGGAAAAGCCAGTCTTGCAACCTATTCGGAAGCAGCTCTGGTTCGAGAAATTCATATGGTTTATCTCGTCCGATGGTTATCTCGTTCTCGGCGGCAAGGATGCCCAGCAAAACGAGATGCTCTATAGACGGTATCTGAAGAAGGGCGACGTCTACGTGCACGCAGACCTCCACGGCGCACCAAGCGTGATCATAAAAAATAGTCCCAGCACACCTGATGCCCCTATACCACCTTCAACTCTGTCACAAGCTGGGTCTTTGGCAGTCTGTGCCTCGTCTGCCTGGGACTCAAAGGCCGGTATGGGTGCGTGGTGGGTGAATGCGGACCAAGTATCAAAGTCGGCGCCAACTGGGGAATTTCTTGGTACTGGTAGCTTTATGGTACGAGGAAAGAAAAATTTCTTACCTCCCGCCCAACTGATAATGGGTCTTGGGTTGATGTTTAGGATAAGCGAGGAAAGCAAGGCCAAACATGTTAAGCACCGTCTTTATGATCTCCCGGAAACCCTACCGAACAAGCCAAGTTCAGACGCTACTAGTAGCAAAGCTATATCCGACTTTGCGAAAGAGTCGAGCGTAGAACATGATGATGAGAGCGGCTCGGAAGACAGCGCTATAGATATCCAGGAGGATGCCGAAAGGAGAGAAAACCCACTCCAACCTTCAGACAGAAATGACGATGAACAAGAGTCTCGGGAACAGGTTGAAGAAAGTCCACCTCTTCAAAAGATGAGTAATTTAACAATCTCCGAGGTACCTGGTACTACTCATACAGCAGAGCTTCAAGAACACGAAATTGGTGATGAACAAGAAGATCTAGACGAGGTGGTAACGGAAGCTGATTCTGCGCCTGTGACAAGGGTAAATAGTCTGCTTCCCGAAACGTCTGGCAAGTCCACACCGCAGCCTCAAAAGAAAGGCCAACAACCTAAGCGAGGTCAAAAGGGCAAAGCTAAGAAGGCCGCTAAATACAAGGACCAAGATGAAGAAGACCGCGCCGCGATTGAAGCTTTGATAGGCGCAGCAGCTGGAAAGCAGAAGGCCGAGGCCGAGGCGAAAGCAAAAGCCGAACGCGAAGCTCAACGAGCGGCTGCGCTTGAACGCCGCCGAGCACAGCACCAACGTCAGCAACGCGAAACAGCTGAACATGAGGAAGTCCGCAAAATGATGCTCGAAGAGGGCATCGAGACTCTCGATGCTAACGAGGCGGCTAACCTAACTCCTCTCGATGCGCTTGTTGGAACCCCACTCCCCGGCGATGAGATCCTTGATGCGATTGCTGTGTGCGCGCCATATAGCGCGCTTGGCCGCTGTAAATATAAGGTCAAAATGCAACCTGGTACGCAGAAAAAAGGCAAGGCTGTGAAAGAAATCCTGGAAGCGTGGAAGGCAGCTTCTACGAAGAAAGGTGTCGTGGACGAGAAGAGCGAGGACAAGGAGAAGATGTGGCCCCGCGAGGTGGATCTTCTCAAGGTCCTCAAACCTGAAGAGGTCGTCAATATTGTGCCAGTTGGGAAACTGAGGGTTATGCTTAGTGGAGGTGCTGGCGGAAGTGGAGGGGACGCGAAGGGGAAAGGTGGAAGTAAGGGCGGTAGTGCAAACCGTGGCAAGAAGCGTTAGGGACGCTATACGATAGGTAGATAATGTATATCGTCCAATTGATGTACATTCCCACCAGCCCTCGGCGACAGGGGTGATTGCTAGTATCCTCAGTGTAGGCGTCAGGTATGAACCGAGACCTGAGTAAAAGGAGATATCATCGAAGCATCTTTCATCCGAAATAATCGACTCAACGATACAGCATACGTTTTCTGAAGATAAAAGTACGTAAAAGGGAAGTCGTATTTTACTTTCATGTGTCACTTCTAATAATTGCTAATTCCAGGACATAAAACATCTATCATATGTTACATTAACTAGTTAACCTAGGGGAATCATACAACTCTATGTTCACTCTGTTATACAATACCCGGCCATAGTCTATACCGAAGAAGGGATTTTACATTACCTATTACGTCTCTACTACCTCCACGGAGGTTACTTTGGGTATGTCGGGTAGAAAGGGTCTCTCCAGTCAATGGTACTATTGTCGTCGTCAAACTCTGTCTCCAGATGCCCACTACGGCCCATATGGTTCTGGAAAAATTGCCGAGCCTCGATGGGAATATTTATAGCTTCCATGACTGGTACCCTGTCCCTTATGATCCGTTCTAAGGTAGACTGATACTGCACTGGTGTTGAGGTTCTCATGAAGTCGCCGATCCCGCAGCACACGATCATCCACGCCATGATGTTCGATGGGTCAAGCGATCCCCCCATTTGTCGGAATTCGAAAACTCCTCTTTGCTTATCTACTTCGAAGAACTTGCCGTCGTAGTCTAGATTTTCCTGCTCCAATTCATTTTCAGGGCCCGGGCTCGCCCTCCCCGCGGCAGTACCTACGCCCCGGCATTTGATCATTACCTCGGTCTTCCGCGACCGGTACCCCGTGCCCACGGCAGCCACGATAGAGTCTACGTCCGTATATTGCCATATCAAGCCTAGGAAAATGCGACCCGCTAGGTTCTCCCTTTGCGTGATTAAGTTGACGGGCAGATGCGCCGCCGCTGTCTGGTTCTGCCGCTCTGTGAGTAGAGGCCCGTGTTTTGGCACGATCGCAGTGTTGTCGAAGTTTTCCACGTACTGGTTTGTCTGCGCCATCTTACCTAGCTGGGAGACTTCGCGGATGGGCCCGCACACCTTGTCGTGCGACGTTCGGGTTCGATACCATCGGTTCAAACGCCGCAGGTCGTTGGAGACGGCCTCGATGGCAAGGAACGAGGTTAGCTTCTGGATTTCTAGGAGTGTAAGACCGTTGGTGTGCGAGATGGAAATCTGCGTCGTCGCGGGGATCCAGGGCGTGTCTCGGTGTACGCGGAAGTTGTCACGTACGACTCTACAGATATCGCGGATCATGCCATCGAGTTTCAACGGCGGCCATTCGAAGCGCAGTACCGGCGACGAGATCTTGATCGTTACCCACCCATATAGATCCTTGGGAGTTGCCTCCGTTTGTGGCCAGTTTCTATAATGTCTGCCTTCCGTACAATCCATGTTTACCTCGTCGATTGCGTAGACGGAGAAGGCTCGATACCGCGGCCGCATGCCATCTAAGGGGACATGGTTCTTATCTCGCTTTTGCAGGTATGATTCCAGGTAAAGTAATTCCTCAAGGCGTTTTTCGGCCTCCCGCCTCTCCGAGGCGGTAGGTATGCCGTGCATGATGGCCCGCTGTGCGGCATCCCGGAGCTCCTCCCGACTTGCTAACATAAAGTTTCTGGCGGGTTCCGAGTTGTTAAAATAGCTCAACTTAAGAAAATCTCGGGCCTGCACTGCCGCGTTCTCAGCTAGCTTGCTTATGGGGGACGCTCCACTCGAGGATCGCACCGGACTGTCGCGCATGATCACGTCTGCCAATAGGGGGAATCCGTGTTCAAGCCTGTGCATATTCTCCATCCTCAGGTCGTGAAGGGCCGAGTCCTCGTCCTCGTCCCGATGGATGAAGACCATGTCGGTTTGCGAGTTGAGCACCTCGATAAAACGGTCCACCGTGATTTTGTGGACCCTTTCCTTTGGGACGTTGTCGGTTACGATCTCCTCGGCTTCCCACCGGGGGTCGCGGGGGTGAGGTCGCTCGGCCATTAGCCCCCCTCTCCTATAAACGGCGACGGGTAGCTCCAGCTCAAAACCTACCGTCCAGTGCCCGGGCGAGTCGTCCTTGTAGATCAGGCCCGGGATCTTCTTTTTCTTACCTGGTTGATTAATTGGCGTGGAGGCCCTGTCCCACTTGATCGTATTGCCCCCGGTCGAGGTGTTAGGAGCCGGCTGTGGAGATATTTCGGGGAGCTCGGGAACACTAGGGAGGTCCGGGGCCGCCTTTACGGGCGATGAAAACATCTTGACCTCATTGGGGAGCCAATCGTGCACGGATTGGGCCTCTGTTCCGAGGTTTCTCTCCTCCAGGTCTCTTCTACGGAGCAATTCTTCGGCCGCGGGACTACGTACAGGCCAGGAGTTCGATGGTATATGGTTCTGGTCGTACTCCGCGTGTAGCCTGGCCAACTGTCTGAGGGTGCCATTCCGTATCTCTGCCCAGGGCACAAGTCGGAAGTTGTGCGTTTGTTGCCGCCAGTCCAAATTTACCCAGTCCGCGTCGAGGAGCAGGCGGTCCCAGTCATGGGTATTGTTATTCATTGTAACAATGTAGTTTACCTTGTCTACTTTAGAATTACTGACTTACCTCGTCTCGTACGTACGTACCTATACGAGGCTCGTATGGGTTCGTTTACTTAATTCGGTTATAGAGCAGTCTTCGTAATTTCGCTTACTTGTACTATTATAAAGTAGCAAAATCATAAATCGAACTTCTACGGGAACGTGTCTGACATAAATACTCTCTATGTAAGACAGGCGACAATAACGACAATGACCCTATTGATGCTCTTGAAGATTAAATAGATACAATGCAATTGTGTCATGTCTAAACAAAGAGTCTGAATGACCTCAGTATAACTCGGTTCCTTTGATCTTTATCATGTTTCTAGTTGACAGAGGATCTAAAACGTCGATAGTTATAATTTTATGATAAATTAGGGATTTGTGTTTTGCCGTAATGGTAATTAGAGCATTTAGATATAGAAGAGGAGGTTCTATAAGTAATCTAAGGAGAGTGAATACGATAAGGGGTTATAAATCTTTAAGGCCTCCTATTTTCCTTATTTATGATATTTCTTGGTCTGTATTATTTTATATGACCTGGTAAATATTGAATGAGGTTATTCGCCATCATTATAGGTATTCATATATAGATTTACGTTCTTTTATATATACCTGCAGGGTAGGTACTAGGAGTGTAAACGCTTCTACGCGGAAGAAACCGGTTATTATATTATAGTACCATTCCGTAGACGGAAGCTTCACATTAAAGCACTGGTTGCCTATCCCTAACAAAAAATCGGTTTAATACCTAGGTACGTTTGCTAATGCACTTGTTGCTATGAAACTGTCATTATATGGTCTTATCGCCTCGTCAGAATTACCGATGATTGAAATATATAGGTCGCTACTAGCAGTGAGGCCCTATGGTAAATGAGTCAAGGGTTAAGATAGGTTAATTAGCAACAGTAAAATATTTCTTTAGGATCTTGATCTACTCAGAAATAATATTTTGATATTCAATTTGCCCAGAAAGAAGAATTAACTACCTCCTAGTTAGTGTGTTCTATAAGATCCAGTAACTACACCAAGTCTTTTTCTTTTCCTTAATCACAACTGGTGGACAATAGGGGGTTATTGCTTTCCTATTATGGAAGAGAAACTACCACCCAAGGCCGAATGCCCATGGACGGCGCGCGGAGTGTGGGGAGGGTAGTATTGTTAATTCGGCCTTTCCGGCACTACCGAGAGCGCTTTGGGGATATGTCGACCTAAAGCATGTAGCAATATTTGGCGACGTCTCCGCTCCTTTTTGATTCTTGAAGCCCCTGCATGCCTAGGCCGGGAACATCTCCCGCTTTAGTATCCGGTGGTCTCCTCCCGCCGATTCCGACGGCGACGGCGACGGCGACGGCCGTTGGACACCAGATCTGGGACTCTGCATTCCATGATCAGAATTAGAACCCTGTTCTGCAAGAGTCAGATTCACGTAGTAGCAACTCCATATAAAAAAACATTTACTAGGTACATCCATCGGCCATAGAACCACATATGTAAGTGCTCTAGTTTGTTTTGCGGGTTGGTAGTAATGTTAATGGATCCTTACTACATAGTAAGTAAATTGTAGGCCATGCAAATCCACCAGACTCGTCGGATTGATGCCGAACGCACGTGGGAAGCCCGGGAGTCGCCGGTTCCATGAAAGACTCCTGGCCCCCAACCTGATACCAAGCGGTCTAGATGGTGACATTAGGGATGTCCGGATTCCTACCTAGACATGTAAGGATATTAATGTATACATTGTAGCATACATTGTGGTATACATGCATTGTGGTATACATGCATTGTAAGCAGTACCTACACATATGAATTAGCTACCAAAATAGCTGGTTTTTCGGACAGCTACTTTTTCTCTTAGTAGAATGTCAAACTTGTTTCTGGAAACTTGAGTTACCAACGTGGATCCCTTAGCTACGCTGAGTGCAACGTTATGCAAGGTACCCAATGGAAAGGAGCTTTCTCCTGGACGGAAAGCTGACAGAGTGACGTGAGCAATATACATAGTAGGGATATGTATAGGAATATGAACGGATGATACTACATAGGGCAAAGAAGCAGAAGCTAATGACTTACCTTTCTACGCTCTAAAACCTCTAGGAGTCTAGGTAGCATTTGGTGAGATGATGAAACGATAATGCATGTAACTGGTTGAATCCTTCGAATAACTGGTTGAGATGCCAAACCTATCGTGAGCACGTGTCTTTCATGCGACAAGATTACGTCTCTCGACGATTGATAACTTTGGAATAGCAACCCTGTTCTAAGCCAAGATACGAGGTTGGTACATTAATAGTTGTAACCCATAACCCCGACTTTTCGACCCAGTTTTCTTGGTGTATCTGCTATGAAAAGATGTGGCTGATTCAACTAGATGAGGCTGAGCTTGGCCGAGCCTCTCTCTCCAGATATGTACGGATTAGCACCCCAAGCTAAGAGCGGGGATGAGAGGGAAAGGCTAATGGCGGGGCTAGAGGGGTTAGTGTAAGAAACGTGGTCGGGTCAGGCACCAATTATGAAACATTAGTATGTTTAGCTCAGCTTAACAGCCAATACTTATATTTGAAGCATTTATCGTACAAACTGAAGTATTTCTGTTATTTAGAAAATACCATCGAGACTAATATGATCCCTGAATATTGAATTGGCGGCGCAGTCTTGGAGAAAACATCTGTATACGGATTGCGCGTAGCTCGCGATTTGAGCCAACCAAATTGCATATGATGGACGGGCCGAATCTTTCTTAACTTCTTTTTCAAGCCCTCGTGGCCGTTGCAAACAAAGGACTCGGCGAGGCCGCAGCAAGAACGAGGGGGAGTCTTTGATTTAGGTCGCATAAAGCTAGCTATCACTACCTGGTAGCTATCCTTTGAAAGGACTACGGAAGGCATTTGGAGGATCTTGCAAGAGAATACTAACTAATCTACCTACTCATTAAAATTAAACCTCAAACAACATCCAATCTTCGCTTAACTATCCAACCTAGAGCGTATAGTAGCTCTTACAATGTTGCTTGTTATCTAACGACTTGGACCAACTAATTCAATTTTGATATAATACGAACGGTTTGAACAGTCGTTCGAGTATAAAATATCCATGTGGTCGTGAGAGTTGCCACAGCGGCAATATCGAATATTGTATCCTTTACGAATCCTTAACGCGCGGGTATGCCTCTTCGAAAGGTATATACCACCGACCAACCACAGGTAGCGAAGCGCTTATTCGCATGATACCTCGCACGAATTTACGAGTAATGAACTACGGGAATTAGTGCGGCCACGTCGACTCTACTCATAAGACATAAATATTAGATTGCTCATCAGTCAAAAAGAAACCTAGGAGTATCGAGATAAAATATTTTACGGCGATTTACGACGATTTACGACACTTGGGTAGCATTGCCACAATCGTCAAGTCTAGCAGTGCAAGCAGTGATATAGGCAGTGTAGTGTAAGTGTAAGTGAATGTGGTTTGCCCCACAGGTCGCATTGTCCACCACTGTCATTGTCGTAATCGTTGCATCGTCTCATTTCTCCTACCCACCTGCTTACAGCCTACAGCCTACAGGTTCCCCTCCTCAAATCTAGGACTTTTTGTTTTTCGACTCCCTTTGCAGGTTGTTAAGAAGAACTCGCTTCAGCCTTATTATCCTGGATTTCCTCCCCCCCAAAAAGTAGCCTAACCGCTAACCGCTAACCGCTAAACTGCATCCCGCAAACCCGCAAACCCGCAAACCCGCAGCCCATACAACAACCAGCCCAACCTAACGCGGTTCAGCTCCGTCATCAGCCACAGTGGAATCGCAAAAAAAAAAAAAGAAACGAACAAGGAACAGGGTCGCAACACTGAAGTTTTAATTCATCTAATTCATCTAATTGATCTGATTGATCCTCCGCGATAATAGTGTCCCACTAACTACTATTTTCTACTATTTTCTTACCTACTGGCCCCATTCAGGCCTGTCCCACCCTGCCCGCCTCTCTTTATTAATCTAAGTCCTAGGTTTAAGGAATTGCACATACACAGCACTAAAGGCAACCGAATGCACCAAAGACAACCAAGGACTTCCATTGCTTCTGGCAGGATTGTACTTTTAACTCGTACCTTAGTGTTACTTTAGGCCTTGGGTACTTTTTTCTCCCCCTTCCCAAACATCCTGCGGCACGCATACTCGGTTATTACATTAGGTTAGGTACTTTAGCTTAGTCTAGGTTAAACCTAAAGGGACAGAACGGGGAACAAGGGATTATTCCTACTACACTTGGGCAAGCAAAGTAAAGCGAAGCGAAGCAGGAACATACCCAAAAGAAACCCGGCAGTAACAACCAGCAACAGGCAGTAACCTTGGAAGCAGCAAGCACCAGCAAGCACCAGCAAGCACCAGCAAGCAACAGCAGCAGCAGCAGCAGCAGCAGCCCCTCTTCTGACGCCGCAACTCACTTCGTATGGAAACGACCCGACGCCTCTCTCTTGCTCGGTTTCTTCTTAGGGAACCTCAGTCAGCATCTTCGTCTTGGCTCAGCTCAGCCCGCCTTATCGCAACCTAGCCTAGAAGCCCAGTGATCCCACATCAATCGGATCACACCTTCGACAAAGTCCTTCCCACCCTTCTTTGATCTACCCTCTTTTTTCCCTTTTTCTTCTTCTTCTTTCCGTTTCCCTAATTCCTTATGAATTCATTGAACAACCTGAATTCCCGTTTTAGAGGCCTAGGATTAGGTAAACGGAAATCCACCGCCAGTATCCCCTCAAGTACGCCTGAACCACAACGGCCTGCGACCTCGACCCCGACCTCAACCCCTCCACCGCAAATAACGCAGCAGTTCCCACAGGCCCAAGCTCAACCCCATCCTTATCCTGGTCCCGCCGCCCCCTCTATAACAGCTTCGTCCTCCCAGACGAGCCTCCCGATAATGAACCATCCCGGCGCTGGACCACGTCCACCTAGTTATAGTACTGCAAATTTCCAACCTGGTCCTCAACCTCCTGTTGGCCGCACAAGCCCTTTAACAACGGGACAAGCTCGCACACCGCCATCGCAAATGGTTGGCGGCCCCCCTCCCATTAACACCGGTGCTCCTGTCTCCGGCTACCCTCCTCAGATGCATGCCCCCCCGGGCTCGCAACCTCCCCCAGGAGTTGCTGGTGGTCCTCCTGGCTACGCTGGTTACCCGCCACCTGCTCCCGCTCCTCAACCGACCAACGCTATGCAGTCCTATGGCAGGCCGGCTGCTGAAGTCGAAGGGAACAGCAGAAGTAAGGCACAGTTAATCGTCGGAATTGACTTTGTACGTCCCCTCCGTTAATTTATTTAAATTTTCTATTTCTTGCTTGTGTTGGTTTTTTTTTTAACTAATCATGCGAGACGCAGGGTACAACGTTCTCTGGCGTTGCTTTTGCGTTTGCGACAAATAACGAGGCGAAGGAGGACATCATCACAGAATGGCCTGGTGCTGGATCGTACACGAAGCAGAAGGTAAGACATCCGAGGAAAGGTATAGCCATCTGATCAAAGCTTGTTAACTTGGATAAGATACCTACTGTTCTTTACTACGACCAATACCAAAAGGTTGTTGGATGGGGTCCAGATATTGCTGATGCCCTGGCACCTACAGGATACCCGAAACCTGGTGTCCAAAAGGTCGAATGGTTCAAACTCCAGCTTATGCTGTCAGGTAACACTTACATCGACCCCATTAACCTTCCGCCACTACCGCCCGGAAAGTCGGAAATCGATGTAGCCGCAGACTACCTGTTTAAGCTGCGGCAAGCTATGCGCACGGCGCTACAAAAGACGTTGGGTGAGGTATTTAATCGAGAGGAACGAAATATTCGCTACTACCTGACTGTGCCGGCTATTTGGAACGATGCTGGCAAGGCTGCTACGCGAGCCGCCGCTATCCAGGCCGGCTTCCTCAGGGACGAGAACGACAACAGATTGACACTCGTTAGCGAGCCCGAGGCCGCATCGCTTTTCTGTGCCAAGACTGGCTTGCTTAATTTGAAAGTTCACGACGCTATCTTGATTGTCGATTGCGGTGGTGGTACTGTTGATTTGATTGCATACGAAGTCGAGGATGAGAATCCATTCACGGTCGCGGAATGCACGGCGGGTTCTGGCGACTCTTGTGGTTCCACTGCCCTCAACAGGAACTTCAGTAACATTCTACGGACTAAGATCCGAAAGATGAAGTTACCAGACGGATCTAAGACGGCCGGTCGCGTGTACGCCAAATGTATTATGGATTTTGAGAACAGAATCAAGGCCGATTTCAGGAATAACGGCCAAAAGTGGGCTGTTGATGTTGGTATTGAGGCTGAATTCCCCGAGGCCGGTATCGAAGAAGGTTACATGACTTTTACTAACGAGGAAATTCTTCAATGTTTCGAACCCGTCGTAAACCGGATTTTGGAACTCGTACGAAACCAAATCATCGCCATCCAAGCCCAAAATAGGACGCTACAAAACATCTTGGTAGTTGGTGGTTTTGGTGCTTCCGAATACCTCTTCCAACAGATCAAACTACACGTCCCTCCCCAGTTCCAGGCCAAGGTTGTGCGACCTATGGACTCCGTTGCCGCCATTGTCAAGGGAGCCGTCACCGCAGGTATTACCGAGCGGGTTATCACGCACCGTGTAGCTCGTCGCCACTATCTTATGGCAACTCTGCAGCCCTTCAAGGAGGGCTACCATCCCGAAGCATATCGTGTGCCATCTCTAGACGGCAAGGACAGATGCAAGTTCACTCGGCAGATTTTTGTGCAAAAGGGCCAGAAAGTCAAGATCGGCGAACCAGTTAAGGTATCATTTTTCCGACAGGTGGCCCCGGGTGCTACGCTTATGTACGAAGACATCCTGTACGCTTGTGACGAGGATGTCTGCCCTGAGTACACCAAAGATCCTCGTAAGTTGTCTAGCTTTTATCGCGATCCATTCTACTCGTGGCTTACATATTATATAGGTATAAAGGAAGTAGTTACTCTCACATCCGATCTGTCACGCAAGAACCTCGAAAAAGATTTCGAGCGTATGGACACGCCACAGGGTACATTTTACCGAGTTTACTTCGACATCTATCTCACTCTCGACGGCTCGGAATTTAGTGCTGAATTAGTCTGTCAAGGAGAGGTTATGGGCCGCTGCAGATCTAGATTCAGGTAGAAGGGCGGAGATGAGTAGATGACGTGAAATTCGTGGTTGGCGTCCTTTTTACTAATGTCTTTGCCTACTGCGTTGCTTTTACTAGCTTTCACATGATACCTCGTTAAGGAAAGAGCAACAGCGTACTTGGACTAATAGGTGATCTAGCAATATGGAAAGGAAGGAAAGATCTCTTCTCTTTGCGAGCTATCACCACTTACGGAAATTCCTTTTCTAGAAATTTAAACCAGCGACATGGGTGGCTATTTGAATAGTTGGCAGATGGGCAGATGGATGGTTGCACGAGCAAGAGATCTTTCCACGCCTCTGATTGCCGTTTACAGATAATTTAAGAACCTGACACAAATACGTGGCCGCCATGGTAAAATTCCAGTTCTGATGTGAATATTATGTGCAAGTCTTGATATACCTGGTTAGGTACTTATAGTGCCATGTAAATAGCCTCATGATTGGCTGTTGATGGATGGTAATAAGGTTGGACTACCTAGTCGCTTGCAATATAAAAGTAATCAAATCTTGGGGAAGGTAGGACAAGGGGGGAAATACCCCTGGAAAATGGCACAAAATCTTGGTAACCAGTCGCAACTGCGTCATCGTCCATTCCTCCAACATCAATGGCAACTTCATCGAAGGCAATTCCATTGGGCCTTCTCTCTCTCACACACACACCTTCTTACCTTTCATGTTCTAAGCAACGAACTTATTCAGCATGGCTTCATTCTGTATCAACAAGCCTCCCTGAGGGTGTCTCTACATTTCATACCTACCTCTTCTTTGCGCAACTTCTAGGATAAATTATTATTATCAACTCCTCTGTGCTTCTGCTCTTTCGATATACCTACATATTCTTCCTCTCCGCGAATTCTGCCCCTACTTACCCTTCAGCATTTTGGCTACTAAGAGTCAATATCAGGACAGGAATATTCGCGGAGCCTGCTCGATCAACCACGACGATTTGCCACCTTGTTATCATTGGCGAATAAAGCTCCTGCATTCCTTTATAGGCTTCATCGGATAATGAGCTACTTACTTCGCTATACTCTACTCCCAGGATATACTCTTCATCGCCCGCTAGTTTACCTATGTAACAGGACAATCGCAGTTATCTAGTCAGAAATAATAAGTCCTGCGGAAGCGAAGCGATTAAGTACAATGCCTAAATGGTCACGGCAATGCGGGCGCCGGCATGATTCTACAAGGACTAGATTGTCGGTTATTGCCGGTCTCTTTTTAACATCACAGCTCCCGCAAGTAAGAGCAGTTGTGTATCCAAGCAACCATAAGCTATATGCTTTCGACTATCTGGGACCCAACAGACAATATTTAGGCACGAGCCGTCCTTTAACCAAGTATGAGAATGCAATCCCCTTGATCATTACCAACAATTGCGGCGATACAATATGGCCGGGAATTGGAACTCAACATGGAGACCCTCCAGACTCTCACGGTTTCGAACTCAAGCCTGGCGAGACGAAAGAACAGACAGTCGGTCCAACATGGCAGGGCAGAATCTGGGGCCGTACCAATTGTACCACTAGTGGGGACACGGCGACATGTAAGACTGGTGATTGTTTTGGTAAATTAGATTGTGAGTATGGGGTAAGTTGAGCCATAACGAGCAACCACAGTGTAGCTACTAATCACAACATAGGGTGCCGTACCTGTTACTCTTGCTGAATTCAATCTTGCTGGTGGCGCAACTGGCAGACAGACCTTTTACGACATTTCACTTGTCGATGGTTATAATCTGCCAATAGCAATAGTCTATCATCCAGCAGACAACACATCATACATCCCGCCAAATCTAGTCAATCCTTCATGCATTGGGACATCCGGGTATCTCGCTGCCTATAGCGAGACCGGACTCACTTATACTAACTCAGCCTATCCTATACCGTATGAAGATATACAGTCCAACGCAGATTTAAGCAATTGGTGTCCTTGGGACCTCCAGGCCTTCCTTCCAGAGAAGCCTGGAGACGGTGTATATCCATATCCAGACGACACTCTACATAGGCCTGTTTTTGACCCGTGCAAGAGTGCCTGCGCCGCTAATAATGACCCCGAGGACTGCTGCACCGGCGAATATGACGACCCGTGGATCTGCGAGCCCAGCCAGTATTCGTACAATGCCAAGGCTATGTGCCCTGACGCATACAGCTACGCGTTTGACGATCAGACCTCCACGTTTATCATCCCCAGCGGAGGTGGATGGGAAATCGTGTTCTGTCCGGCAGGGCGAAGTACCACGATATTGGCAACATTCACAGACGAATTACACAAGATCGCCGAAAGCGGGCAAGTGACCCAGGATATCCTGCTCAAGGCTATGAACATGAGCTATATCGAATCGAAACACAGCACAGCTGCCGGTATATGGGTGTCCATGGCTAGGTTGGCGTTAACTGTCGTGTTGGCGGTCAGTAATATACTGGCTTGACCATAAGAGGGCATTATGAATGAGAAATCACTGTACATGAAATGTATATGATATGCTTGGGGAAGTCTACATAGGGAGGATTCTTGTTTTATTAGTACCCTAGAACTCGACTAGAACTCGAGTATTTGCATACACTGTCGAATATATTCCTAAGAAATCATGGATACCCCTATACGTTGTTAAAGGGGGAAACACAAACTTTCACTTATAACTAGGTAGTTAATGCTTTAAGACAGTACATAGCAGTGTGTAATGCACAGGCCACCTAATGCAATGCATTAGATCTATTAATAGTTAGTAGGCATCACGCAAGCTATGACCTGCGGCATACCCTTGTCACTAACCCTCAGTGGGGGTCATTTAATGGGGTCATTTAATATGCATGCTTCAATCTTAGCACGAACCCGTTTAGATGCGATGCAATCTTGAATCTTGAATCTTGATACAACTCATCCCCCCCCTCCCCCCAAACAACGACCTCACGACGACAGTTCCCTCGTCTCGTCGGGGATCCGACGACCTCCTTTCGCTTCTTTCTCGAATCCAGCGCTGCTAACCGCTAACATTCGAGACGGATTGAGACGGATTGCCATCAGGATGTGAGGTAGGAAATGCCTGTTATCGAAAGCACTCGAGCCGCGACGCGCTGGATCACCCGTACAATTCCAGTCATCCTCGTCGCCGCCGTTAGCTATGCTACTTATGCCGTAGTCGGCCGGGTCTGTTGTATGTTATAGCCTTATCTAACATGGTATTCCTAAATCAATTGGCTTGTTTGCTAACCTAACGTCGCCGATATCTAGCTAACTACCTTATCGGCAAACGAGGCGAGGTCGGGGCAGCCATTGTCATTCTAGTTCTATACTTTATACTTCTCTTATTGATGGTCGGTACCTATTTAAGGACTATACTTACCGTCCTTCTCGATCCGGGAGTTGTGCCGTTCGGGCCGGGGGTAATTGAACGAAAGAAGGCTGCAAGAGACCGGCGAAGACGAAGGCGTCAGGAACCTGACCTCGAGAGCCTACCCTATTACGCCGGTCCCGATTTGAACCCAGATAGTCCAGGCTTAGAGGAATTTTACACAAAAGATGTCTTCATATGCGAAAATGACGGTCGCCCAAAGTGGTGCTCGGAATGTTCCACATGGAAAGCAGATCGGGTTCATCATAGCAGCGAAATTGATCGTTGTGTCTACCGCATGGACCACTACTGTCCGTGGGTTGGCGGCATGATAGGAGAGAACTGTGAGCTTCAATATCTGCTACCCTGCCAAATACTTGGTGTTTACTGATAATCCATAGCCTTCAAGTTTTTTGTGCAGTTTACGACGTATACTGCTTGCTACTGTGGCCTTGTCCTTGGCGCTACAGCTTCAAGTCTTCGAAAAGAAATTAGCGAGGGGTCTCCATTGGATCCCCATTTCATACCTGCCATAGTACTGGCTGCTTTCTTTGGTCTTTTTACTTTTCTAATGACTGTAACGTCGATGCGTTACATCTTCCTCAACATGACGAATGTTGATATGCTCGGATATCAATCCAAGGTATACCAATTAGCTGTCCACGTGCCCCGCGGTACCGAATCGACAGATAAGTTCACCGTGGTGACGTATCCCCTACCGAGACCGGGTGAGGCTGTGAACGGCTGGTCTAACGGAACAGCCCGGCCTGGAACAAATGAGAGCGGCGGCTCGGCTGTGCAGATTCGGCCGTCGGCTCGCGATGACTTGGCAACTCGCACTTTCGCTATACTAAAAACGGAGCCGGGAGAAAACCCATGGGATATCGGGATATGGCGCAATTGGAAAAGTGTCATGGGCACCAACGTCTTAGACTGGATTTTACCCCTTCGAAAGTCGCCCTGCGTCAACCACGAGGGCCACGATAGCTTCTACCCCATGGGCCACGTCTTGGCAGATGTCTTGGCCAGGTACGACCTCGCCGACCTCGCGATGAAGGACGGTTCGGGGCTCGAGATGAGGGAGATTGCAAGAGGGAGCAGGGCTTAGACACACGTGCATAATAGATACCCCCTTTCTAGGCATTGGAGTTGGGGAGATTTCCGGTGGGTTCAAGCTCATAGCATACCTTTGGTAGCTTACCTGGTAGGTATTTTGGTAAAATACTTATTAGCGAGCGTGCTTAATGATATTGTAATCAACACATGTATAATATTAGAAGTCAGAAATATATGTCTACCTTCTAGGAGAAGCTTTGGCTTATATATCATGGATATGTAAGACTGAATTATTAATCGTGGCCTGGCTTGTGTGGTAGTCGGATGAAATAACTTCCCCTTTTCAGCTCCCCCTATTTCCATACTAACTCCTAACTCGACTGTGCCTTATACAGTGGATATAAGACCTTACATAACATCTAATTGACTACATAAAAGTCGAACAATGACATTATGCAAGTAGTTGCCTCCTATCTAATTAATACCTAATAAAATAGAACCGACGTAATGAAATGCGAACTAAAATGAGGGATAGACAAAGGGTAAACGTAAGGTTTGACTAGTCATCAGTCACAGTTATGATTTCCTTGAAGACAGGTTGAATTGCCCTGTCATTTAATTGAAAATGAAGTACCTCGAGGTCTTGTCTATATTAATAAACGAGTGCGGTTTCTATCGCATAGTCCAACAGGACGTTTGGCTATCGGTGCCAGAAAGAATCTAATCAGAACACAGTAACAAGGTAAAAACGACACAGATGAAGCCCATGGATCCAATGGTTTCATAAACGAGTGACAGCCTCCATTCCAATTCCAAGTATAGCCCCGTGCTCTTCAGGGGCTACTTATCGTCCATCTCCCCATAATGATCATACTAGATAGCGTGTGTTGTTTAAGACTCCACGCAGTCTGAACACACGGTGTGGGCGCAGTGCTTGCATAGTGCATTATCAGGGTCGCCGTCGTGTTCAAAATAGTCCGTCTCGTGGCATTCGGAGCACTCGATTTTATTGTCCGTGTCGTAGAGACCGGAGTCGGGAGGAGGACCATACCCGTCAGGGGAGTCGGGGCTATTTTCGTCGCTCCTATAGAGTTTTTTAGACAGTGTATCATAATTATTAACAGATTCTCTTACATTGTAGCGATGAAAACGCGTAGTGTCGTTACGATTGAAGCAAGTGTTAAAGCTTAGAGGAGATACGATTTGAGAACGCTAGAGAGCAGTATAACTTCTCAATGTTAATTGTAGAGGAGAGTAGCTGAGTTCGCTGTGATTCTACACTCTATCTCGACTGACCAAACTCGGAACTCGACGCTCCTTATAGAGGAAGAAAGCCATGACCGTGATACCATAAGTTTCGCTGCATACGAGCCGCAAATCCAAATCATACCGAGTATTCGTAAGTCGAAACTTGAAGATGGCACTTTCTGTTTGAGAAAAGCCGCAGAGCCTCACAAGCACGCATACAATTTCCTTCGAATCTGGTATCCTCTAGAGATATAAGTCGCCTCGGTGACGACTGAGGCGATGATAGGATCACTGTAACACCTGACATACTGAGCAAAGGCGCCGAAAATGCAATGAAGGCGGAGTTACTTCCAAGGATTATTAGAGAGGGAAGATGTCACCGCTATGGTCATTATAGGGAGAGGCCGAAGAACGGAGAGAGAAGCCGGCCGGCCAAAATAAAGGGGATTTCTAAGAAGGAAGCCCAGAGCTTCAAGCCTAGGTAGTTTCTAACCAATAAGAGCATTGATTTATTCAGCGTCCAGCAAGTTCCAAGGCGAAGGGATCGAGAAAGATGGGCCGAAAACACAGGCGAGGCCGAGGGGCACGTTCAATTGCATGTCGTTCCATCAGGGTCAAGTCAATACATATGGAAAGCAAGCTCTATGAGTGGGTACCGGTAGCTTGGTTCGTGATATCACTGCGTTGGAATGATCTAAGCATGTGCAAAATTAAAAGGGCAAGCACAGCATGAGCTCGTAGTCTCCATGCAAGTTTTGACCCCCGGGACGACCAGGCGGCACAAGGCAACTGTTACATTCCTTGTTGTCCAAGGGGAACAGGGGAACGAGGGATTAAGAAAGATACATCGAGTACTCACCGCCGTAAATATCGACCTATGCTCTATCGAAGTGTGAAACCGTGACAGCGCGAGCGGAACCGCATGCGTCAAAGGTCTCGTGAGCAGGAAGTATGGCGCTCTAATTCGGATTGTACTTTCCGATCGCGGACAATCTGATGGAGAATTTTACCGGTAGCCCCTGGCAGATCACCAAGAAAGGCTTCCCCGGGCGAAATGCCATGTGTGAAAGAAGCCTCTACGCCCCCTGTACTACCATAGCCACCTTGATCGTGGACCGGGGAGATCTAATGGTCTTTGGCCAACTTTCCCCTAAAACCACACGATGGGATTCTGAGGACAACAGAACTAAAGCTGTTTTAGGTCTAACAGATACTAGAATCGGCACAAACAAAACATCTGATTTCTAAGCCACATAAGGGGCACGTTATTTTACAGCCTCGACACCCCAGATAACTTACGGATAAGGTGTAGTAATACCGAAACGCTGGACACTCGTTGAGGAGACCCAAGCGGGTGGTTCAGTATGTCTATCGATGCCAGGGTCGAATTTCTTAGCAGTATTTCCCCTTTAAGCTGTCAAGTTAGTTCTACTCTCGCCCCCAACCCCTGACGTAACCGCTCAAATTTTGGGACTCAAAAGGTACGTAACACAAATTAAGCCCTATATAGTAAGATTATACCTCCGGATTGGGATCGAGTTTCACAGAAAAAGGAGGTTTTATCTGGATAGCGCTTATAAAACGGAAATCGGACTGCAAGGGAGCGGCTCATGGCTATTGAGGCCTTACCGGTCACGACTCGGGGCCTCTCTAGTAAGCAACCCGACGGCAGGGAACGGGGTTCTACCGAAGCGGCAAAGGAATAGGAAAATACATGTGCTACATATTAATCTTACGGGCTACTGGGTGGGTGACCGTGGAGGACTAATGCCGACGATGCTGCTCCTCTCGGCACTCGCCCGACGGGAATTTTGGTAGACAAGAATGGGGGACAAAGATGGGGATAAAGATGGGGGATATCATAACCTAAAGTCTATGTACTCGAGGCTTTCACTGTAGGATTTCCCAGATTTATACCTGACGTAGAGTAGACTCTATGTCGTAGAGACTTTCTATTATATACCTATACTTATTAGTAGTAGTAGGACGGCGACGATCGTGGGAGGATAATGAGCATACTGACATCTCTGGTCACTCGCAACGTAGGTCGTGTTGAGAAGTCCCCGAGCAAGGTGATAATGAAAGTCCTACGTCGAGTAACCATCTAAAAATTTTACTCGCCTGGTAAATCCGAACCCCTTAATGTAACCCCTGTTTAAAATTCCCTTACTACAACCGGAGAAACTGCTAAGAGGTAAATGTCGTAGAACCAAGAACATCTCCAGTATTGAAGCCTCGACTGCTCAATGTACAGTACCTAGTTACCCTGTCCAACTAGTTTAACAATCCTTTCTCAGCAGCCACCATGCAACGGAGACTCGTCTAGTTCACTCTATTACGTACGGCGCTTCAAGAAGGAATGTGTTCGATCTTGTTAATCGTGAGCAATTGCTCTTTTTAGGTATCGGTGGGCGTAAAGCCAGCGACTCAGCTCGGCCCAACACTCCGTGGTTCGGACGAAGCCGAAGCCTCTCGAGATATTGCAACCCAATTCCCATCGGGTTGCAGAAATCTAAACCGCTGCCTCGCTTATTGTGCCGATGGCTTGAGGAAGGGTCGCGAACCACTTTGCGCCAGAGGCTTGTGGTTTAGGGCCAGCCTTGCGGCTTAGTCATATAGGGAATTCTAGAACATCACAGTACCTAGCCCATCGTCTATCACCGTCAGACGGTCGTCATAGGAGGAAATGTGCCTCTTTTTTTTTATAGAAAGTTTCCGCGTTCTTCCGTCGTCTTGACCACATAAGCTGAGAAGAAAGATAGTTAGTATATCGGCACGATGCGGGATCTTCTTCTTCAACACGACGATGGGTAAGGGTTAAATACGACTTGAGGATGCAAAGCCTTATTATAACTTATAAGGGCACGGGTAGTATATTGCGGGGGAACACGTTTCTGATGTGTGTGTTCCTGCGCGGAGAATAGGGTTAACGCATGGTTATTGGATGGGGACGGTAAGGCGCGAAGAGCGAACTTCCGGAAGAGGAGATTGATCATTTACTCATTTACTACCTATCGACGAATCGATACGAGACATATACCACGACACAATGGCACGGCACGAGAAAAGTTCGCGTTGGAGTTACATCGTCTTAGATATCCCGGGACCGAATTCTCGGAAAGACATGCTCGAACTGGGAATATTTTATTTATGTCATCTTGAGGTAAAAAGGGGGTAATTTGTATATATAGAGAGAGTTTGACAGGTAACAGGTCAAGAAGGTGAATTGGTGATGGATAATCTTTTACTACGTGAGAGGACCAATCAAAATGTTCAATCCCATCAAAAGTGCTGAGATGCTAATAGGTGTCTGACTTTTCATTCGCTCTCTCTATTGTGACGAGGAGAAAAGAAATACCGGAAAGATGGTAGGGGAAGTATAGGTATAAAAAAGGAGGGAAAAGGGAAAGAATACTAAGAAGAGTCATGTGCTTGTTGTACTGAAGTGCATTACAAAGTACATAGGTACCTACCTATCAAAAGTCCCCACTTTATTATATCACTATGTATGTAGTTCCTTCTACGACGCGGTCCTATGAACGCGTCTTTCCCGGAGTCAATCTTTCCTTATTCATCAAATCCGGTCACTGAACTTCTACATATCACCTCCATCCTCTCCGGGATCCGAACATCTCTATCTCTCACGAACTACCGGGCCGGCCGAATTTCGTCTTGGCCGGGTTAATCTGTGTGACCCTTGTCCAGCTTGTCCGACCATGAATTCTCGGAGCTGTTGTACCCCACCACTCACTCTCCCGACTTAAAGCGTACCGGTATTTCGTCTACATTGCCGTCTGAGCTGCCGACCATGTCTTCGCACCGTTTCCAAGTATCTTCGCCGGTCCACGGCACCGGTCGGCGAAAGTCCCAATTTACATATAGGCAACTAAGTCTCTTGGCATCTTACTCAACATCATCTCCTCTGCGCGTCATCGCCCACATCGATCTAGATGCTTTCTATGCTCAATGCGAGATGGTACGTCTCGGCATCGCTGAAGATCAGCCT